TCCTGTATATTCTAGAGTAAAACTACTTTATTCAACATACATATATTTGATGTAATTCTGTACTTTATGTACGAAGATTAAATTTTAGTTTCAGGAATTGTTTATTGCTATCCTGATGTATCTGTTTCTCGAAATACATATTGGGTGTTTCATAATAAATTGGTCAATTTTTCTATTTCATATTTTAATCTTTAAATACATTTTAAAAAAATACAGAAAACAGGTACTAGATGCAGCGTAAAGATCTCTGCAACTACAAAGAAAAGCTTATTTTAATTGTAGACTTGGTATTTTCAAAATAAATGGAATTGTGCGCAATCAATTTTCGACGCTGCGCAAAACGGTCTCATAGAATTTTGCTTCTTTTCAAAACACAAAGTATACAATTAAAAAATTTTTACTTTGTACACTGTCGAAATTTTTTACGCTGCATCTTGAGGTATATGCGATAAAGCCAATTAGGTGATAAAAGGATGAAATAAGAAAAAAATGATTTGCTCATTGGAATAGAAAAATGATCTTTTAGGTACAATGGAAATTATTCTCACGGAGTTTTGCTTTTTTTTTGAAAATAAAAATTACACAATCAAAATCAGTCTTGCTTTGTGAATTGTAGAGCTTCTCACGTTGTATTTTGTGGTATACTGGGGTTTTTAATAAAAATTTTTAAAGATTAAAATCTGAAATACAAAAACCGACCATTTATTATGGGACACTCGTTTGAACGAGATTATGAAATTGATATTGATGCTATTGGAATTTTTTTGAAAATGAACAAAATAATTGTATATCATTCTCGAATAAGAACGTATTTTTTCCTATTAATAATAAACATTTGTGAACATCTAATAGTGATTGAAGACTAAAATTGAAGAAGTAAACGTACTCAATAAAAAGTGCATATACTAATTAAAGCGGGTTTAATGCACTACTAGAGGAGTTAATGCTCGAACTTTGCATGCAGTACATTCGAGAAGTTTAGTTCTCATGAAAAAAAAAATTTGCATCGGACTGAGCAAGGGGAAGAAAGTAGAGCTCATTTAACAGTTTATTGCTACCCCTACAAAACTGATCTTGCGCCATCCATGATTGAATATATATGGATTATCAGTAGCAGGTAGTCCATTCTAGAAATAAATAATTTAAATAGAAAAACAAAAGAAAAAAAAAATAATATTTTCTTATTAAAATGTTAATCTACCACATTAAATATATGTAATAAATCAGGTAATTGTCCGTGAAGATCACCAATAATAAATATATGATGTAAATTAGACAAATTAATATGATTCACATTTGGTAATGTTTTAAGTATAACATGTGCTTGATGAAGAATTACATAGACATATTTTTCATGTAAAATCTATTAATAAATTATTGAGTAAACTAAAGATTATATGGTATGTGTTTGAATTTATTTATTTCATACTTTTATTGGCTATTCGAAATATCTTTTTATAATTATGAAATAGTGTAGGCTTAATTGCAATCTACTGCGGCAAAAATTGCTTTTTTTATAAATAATGCATTGTCTGAACTCGTCTTATATTATACCTTATTCTCTGTCGAAATTTACATTCGCCGTGCTTTTCTTTTTGTATAACAATGTTTTAAAAATAGAATATTCACTAAATTCTTTTTGTTGAAATTTTCAAATCATGAAATTATATATAAACAAACTCTCAATTCAACTGTTTTAGTTCGTTGACAAAATTCTCAATGAAATAATACTACTTCAAACGCATGGTTTAGAAGTAAATTAAAAGACGCTTATTTATCATCCCATTAATCTTAGTATTATGAATGTACGGAGAAAGTTTTTCATACATAGGTATCTTTTCAGTGTGTTATTTTAAAAATAATCCATGTAAAAATTTCAATGCACTAGTTGTAACATGGTTTTTGACGCTGAGGCTAATTTAGTTCAGGTGCTGAGTATGATCGTATACTAGAACTCGAAACAACAATTAATTTGATCGGAACGATTGAAAATTTTAGAAGCAAAAAGAAACGGAGCTAGTCGTGAATGATTAACTTTTCTATGGATTTTTATATGTTTTCTTCTATTTTTATAGATGTACTTTATGTATGAAACTAGAATTCGAAAATTATAATAGCATTATGAAAGTATTGGCTTTATGTCGATTAGCTTCGAATTGAAACGAACAAATCTTGATACAAGACCTGTTGCAAAAAAAATAGTACTTCTAAATGATATTATTTTATAAATAATAGTGTAGTGTTATATCTTGAAGAAAATCTATTAAACGATTTTTGAAGTTGGTCTCATGATTTAGGTACATAACGAAGAATGCAAGATTAGTTTAATAAAAAGAATTTTGGATCCATGGATAGGGACTTTAAAAAATGGACTCTGATACTGAAAGTTTGTGTATAAGTAGTTTACATGATATTAAAATACCTAAAAATTTTAAATACCAATGATCGACATCTGTTTTAAGTTCTCTTTATTTATCTAAAAGATCTTCTCACGTATAATGAATCATTTTATGCAATAATTAGTACTGTGATTTCTTATAAAACACTCCAAGAAAGTTTCTTTCTGTATGGTTTGATAGAAAGAAAGAGGGAATGATATTTTTTCTATAGTATTTAATTATGCTTCCACTAATAACATAATAATCAATTTTTTAATAAGATTTGGTTTTCTATCATATGTGCTGATAATACTAATGCCTATATTAGTTGAAATTGTTTTCAATAAATTTTGATAGAACTAAGATAGTTGCTAAGTGACTGAAAAAATTTTTCCTTGTAACAAAGGAGACAGAAAACAAAAGTTTTTTACAGAAATAATCAGAAAATTTACTCAAAACTTCGACATCTATTTCCATAGACACTTGCCAAACACGAAAATCACTTGTAAGTGTGTCATGGGTCATTTTAGTTTTTAAAGATGTCGAATCAAACTTTCAAACTATGAACAAAGCAACTCTCTTTCTTCTTTCTATTAAAAGTTATTGAAAAAAATTTAACTAACTATAGACATTAGTATGATCAGCACATACACGATAGAATAACAAATCTTATAGGAAAATTTTTTTATTATGATATTAGTTGAAGTATAGTCAAATTACCATAGAAAATAGACCATTGTTTTTTTTCTCCAAATATGTTCTCTTATTTGAGGAAAAAATATTTTCCTATAGAATACTAATAGTAATATCATCAACTCAGAGAAACCAAAGCGCTTATTCAGAACGTATAATGTAACGCAAGATTTTCCATCTGGCATAATAATTAACATAAAAAGAACAACTGGTGATGTTAGGTATATCTACTGTGTTATGTTGACATTACTTCGCAAAGTAATTGTCTTTTCCTAGATTTAATACTATTAACTAATCATATTATTCAGTCTGGATATCTAAATCTGTCAATACACACAATATCTTTTTTACCTATAGGCTTCAAATCTTCTATAAATGACTTTAAAAGTATTTTATTGTGTTTTATACTCTATGCATTTGCCGTTTGTATTAAATACTTTTGTCTTGCTTACTTCTCCTTTTTGAAAAGCTTCAATTAAATCAACAAAAACACTTCTCTTAATTGGACTTTCGATACCTAGAAAAAATAAATGAGAATTATGATTCCATTAATTGTAAACAAAACATTCGTTTACGTGGTCCTCGATAATTAGCTTCAACTTGAATATCATCTGGATTTGTTAATCTTAGAAATTCTTTTTCTTCTACATAAAAATAAATTGAATCTATTTATTGTATATTTTGTTTCAAATAATGTATTACCAAGAGGTAATCCAGATTTTTGAAGTAATTTTGTAACAGATGGTGAAAGTATATCGGATGCTTTCATTAATTTTTCAAACATATCCCTATAAGCTATGAGATATAAAAAGGAATTCGTATAATAATGTGGGTGGGTGTGGGTGTGGGTGTGGGTGTGGGTCAGGGTGTGGGATAGGGGTGGGGGTTGTGGGTGGGCGTGGGCGTGAATGTAGTTAAGGGGAAGAGTTACACCCATACCCACGTCCATACCCACACCCGCACTCACGCCTTATCCATACCCATACCCACACCCTTTATATTATTCATCCATTAGTAAACTCCAATATAATTATTTCACTTTGGACTAACGAATCAAAAATCGTGTCATCTAACACTTTATTTTCTCCCCTTCTAGATTAAAAATATTCGGATACATACCTATACCGACAACTATTACACTACAATGTTCATCACCAATTCATCTAATTCAACAGCATATCATCTTCTACTATTTATACTTCTTCAACAATATTCAACAACGTAAACTCAAGCTAATTTCCAGTAATTTAATTGAGATTGGTTAGCCATTTGTGAAGATCATTGAGCAAAGTCGAAACCGATAATGGCAGCTTGTCTCACCGCACCCACCATCATCTTGATATCACTGAAGAATAAAAAGGTATACAGCACGGATGTAACATATTGCTTACAATGCAACACATATTTATTTTCCTAGTTAGTTTCTTATCGTATTTCGATTTGCACTTTACTGTTCAGAGTTAATGAAAGAAGAGCAGTTCTCTTACATTACACGAATGAATCGACAACTACATCGATGACTTTTCTTTCGTTTGCCTTAGACAGTGTGTGCTGATGTCAACAGAACAACGGTCGCATCATAACTATTAATTAGGAAAAATATAATATACAAAATTCTTTTGTAATGATCGTTTTGTGTAGCTTTTTCATAGGGAAAAAAGCAATGAGACATAATCAACGAACTGAACATTGTCAGCATTAACATAGGGATTCTCATTCAGAACATGACTGTGTTCAATAAAATAACGCCAGTTTTGAGAAGGAGACCACCAAAATGAATCGTTTTAAGTTTATTTTATAAAATAATTTTATTACTGAAATTTAACGATGTAATGTTTCTTTCTACTTGTTGATTTCTGATCGCCCTTGCATCATCAATCAAACTGCGCAAAAATGACATCGAAAGCAATGTTAACATGCTTGACGAACGAAAAATATTGATGCGTAGAAACACAAAAGAAGGAGTGATTGATTGTGATCGTAACACGTGCTTTTTAAAGTTTTGATTTTCTGTAAGAAACACAAAAATGTAAGTTTGTTTTCAATGTAAATCTCATTCTTGTTTGGTTGACAAAATCATTTAAGACTTAATATGAATTTCTGAAACGGTTGCATACGTGTGACAGAACTTCTTAATGATCCTGATAGCCATCTGATGACGAAACCTTCAATTCAATAAAGAGCTCGATATTATGTTGCAATATTTTACAGACTAACAGACCTGATAGTTATATAATGAGACATGCAAAACTCTCCACCAACTTTTATTTTTGACTTTTAATGAGCAAGAATTCAAGCTTAGTTAAACGAAGTTCCAGTGATTTCACTATTTCTCATGTAATGGCACTGGACCGAGATGGCAGAAGCTTTTAAAACAAAGTATATTCGTGAATTTTTCTGTTGATTCAGATTATGAAGCTATGGTGATTTGTTCTTTATTTTTAGGGCCATAATAAGCATCAAGAAAAGGCTTTTTCTTTTAAAGAGAAAATAAAAATTTAAAAATTCGCTGCTGAGCAAGTAGAGTATATCTCGTACATCTCTGATATGTAGAGTTCTTTCTATATTATCGCGGTGTAAGATGCAGTGCATGCGTATCTGTATTAGCAAGTGCATGTTCAAAATTGAGTTCCATTTTAGATCACTCGTCCGAGCAAATAACACAGTGAAAAAGAAGAATATGACCAACAATACCAATACATTGATAACGGAATGCATTGATTCATGGACGCTGAAACATCTAAAAGATGAAATGAAAGCCACAGATGAAGAGTTAGTATATTTTGTTAGATTACAGCAACTTCGAAATCAGAAACAGACATCAACATTAGACATCGATTGGGATAATCCATCAGTGGTGATTGACGGCTTTCTCTATCATGGCAATATAGGCCATGCAAGTGACATGAACTTGCTTATGAATCTCGGCATTCGACATATCGTTAACACCTGTGATTCACCGTTAGAAACAGAAATCACAAAGAATTTCAATGTGTTATGGATTAGTATAGACGATGATCTTCATATCAATATCAGTCAATATTTTCAACAAACGAATGACTTCTTACTTTTGTGTAAGAAGAAGCAGGAGAAAGTGTTGGTTCATTGTATGATGGGTATTTCTCGATCATCCTCCATTGTGCTCGCCTATCTAATGAAGTAATATCTATTTCTGTATTCGAAATCGACCAAATATTTCATTATAGATATCATCATGATACTTTGATGAAAGCCTACGATTATTTACTGGATCGGCGTCCTATGTCTTCACCAAATTCTGCTTTTCTTTTACAATTGATTCGATACGAGAAGGTGTTGCGCAACAGTGGTGCAATTGATGAACAACGAAATGATGATGACAAACAGAACCCGATCGAAACAATGAATATACCGAATAATCCTAACATTGAAAAGCCGTTGGTCTAAAAAGCAAAAGGAAACTTTAGAAAGATTTCTATCGTCTTTGTGTGAATTTCATATACTCATAAAGCTCTTATCCTGTATCTCAAGCCTATTTTTTCCCTTCTTTGATTTAGTCTATCTTATTCAATAAACTCGCGTCTACCATCATAATTTGAACTTTCAATTTCACCAGTGGCAAATGATGCACTTCAAACGATTTCTTCTTCAGTATCACAAAACTTGAGTACACTTACTTTACTCTATTATAGGGATTTACTAAACCTTGATGGTGTTTCACAGGTATTGCATATGGAACGTCTAAAAGTGACTCTAGAATCTATCCCAATATTATTAGAAGCATTCAAAATAATGCCAAACCTTGAAGAATCATATATATCAATGTCTTATTTCAATGATTTAAAAGGTTTTAAAATCTTAGAAGCTCCAAACACTATACAGAAGCTAGAATTGGAGTTTGAAGAAGGTAGTGATCTTCGATTCCTCCGGAAACAGTTGGAATTGGTAATAATGTTTTTATACATGCTCAAAACTAGTCAACTACAATCATTGATTTTAATTGACATCTATGCTTTAGAAGGGTATGGGTGTGGCTGTGAGTGTGAGTGTGGGTGGGGGTGGGGGTGTGGGTGTAGGTGAACATGTCTTAATTCACACCCACACCCACCCTCTTCGAAGTTATTGTTTTGCATTGCTGTGAGATCTTGAAGGTCGAGTGTCTTATCAAGCTTCATGCGTGCCTAGAGTTACATCCACATCCACAGCTTTTAATACAAGTATACTCGAACCAAACAATCAAACGTGAATAGAATTATCAGTCTTATAACACCGTCAAATTTTCATTTTAGATTAGCATTGACAAGCAAATCAACTATGGTGATCATCACCGACGGAGCTGATACTGTGCTCCTAAGTCGAATCCAATGAGACTAGAAAGCAACGAAAATCGTACAATATCTTATAATGAAACTTCATCAACTGCTATTCTCTGGTTGATCTCATAGTTTGTTCATGACTGCGATTCATAGAATAGAGGAAAACTCCTACAGAATCAACCATACTGCCGCTTTATTTCAGAGAAATGGGCATAAAAATTTTCTCAAAAATGAAAATTATTGTGTTTTCTAAAAAAAAGTTGCTTTTCATATCATAATAAACGGTCATTTTCACGAGCTGATTTATTAGCCACTCATCTTATGTCTGGCTGCTTCCCATATGAAAAAAAATAAGGGGAATAATCAGATTATAATCGATTATAATCAAAAAAACCAAATTTTCATAGATTATTTCTATTATTTTTGATTATAATAGATTAAAAATTGTGAAAAATATCGATTATAATCAATTATTTTCTTGAACTTTTAATCGATTATAACCGAAAATAACAGGAACAATCGATGAGAAATTGTTTTTTTTCGATTGTTTTTGATTATAATCGATTTTAATCTGATTATTCCCCTTATTTTTTTCACATGGGACTGAGGCACATCTTTTTGACATTTTCTTAATCAATGTTGTCTGAAGATTTGAGCGCAAGCGGATCATAATGGGTAGAAATTTATAATAAGAACACTGTTAGAAATAGTCATCATTTTTGCATCATCTACTTTTTTCTATTATTATGGCGGCATCATTATATATCTATATTGTTATGTTTTCTTTCTTTTTATTTAAATAACACATTGTATAAAAGTAATGAGGTACTACTTATTTCTTACTAGTAACTGTTTAGTGGATGCATGTATAGATGCCAACGTTTTTCTTCTATGCACCGAAGTATTCGCACCTATATCTCGGATGTTTAATCAGTGACAAAATACGCCTAGCTCAGAAAAGGTTTTTTGAAACATCAGCTAGTTTCCTTTAAAAATATAGTTTAGGCGTCCACTTTATTATTTCAAACTGATAAATGTCATAGAAAAGTGCTCTCTTGATTGACCAATGATACATTGTTTTGTGTTCAATAAATTTGCGCTTGACTTCTTTTTTTTTGAACTCTCATTATCATTAGACTAATTCATTATTTCCTTGGTCTTTTATTTCATTTTCATTTTACGTATTATATTTATAAAATCAATTTCTAACACGGTTTCTTCATTGAAATAAGAGAATAAAATTCCGACAAATATTATAATAATCACCTTTTTAGAAAAACCTTTTCTTCTTGTAGATTTAGGTAACAGGATGCTCTCTTCATCAACACTCACCGAGGTCTAAATATTTGGCATTCGACAGATTCTAGTCGTATTTTTGGTAGATTCCAAAAATGTTCTATCACTTGACAACAATGATAAAATACGCCACTAGATTGTTTTATTCCATAATATTGAGAAAAATGTTAAGCACACTTAAGAAACAAGAAGA